GTCACTTGATTTCCTCAGCTTGAAGAAGACAAGGCTGAGGGGTGACCTCCTGGCAGCCTACAACTTCCTAAAGGGAGGGAAGTAGAGGAGGAGGTGCTGATCTCCTCTCCCTGGTGACTGGGAGTAGGACATGAGGAGATAGAATGACACTGGTTCAGGGGAAGTTTACGTTGAGCATTAGCAAAAGGTTTTTAACTGGAACAGGCTCCCCAGGGAAGTGTCACAGCACCAAGCCTGTCAGAGCTCAAGGAGCGTCTGGACAAAGCTCCTGGTTGTATGGATTAGTTGTGAGCAACAGGGAGTTGGACTCCATGATCCACATGGGTCCCTTCCAACTAGAGGTATTCTATGGCTCTATGATTCTGTGCTTACCTTTTGTGGAAGTTTTAACCCTCTCAGTTCAGTGCATACAGAGATAAATATAATAAAAGGATTGCGTAAATCTGTTTCAATATAGCACTTTCTTTTGTAAACAAAATATTTGGCCTCTCCTGAACTGAGAGTAATTTGGTAACTCATCTTGTGTAAGCCCACAACAAAAATCTGTCTAGGTTGTGTAGGAGAGAGTGTATGAAGCAAGCATGTAAATACACTTCTCCTGTGCGGCCCCCACAGCATGCTCCTGGTCTTCAGGTTGTGATTTTGAATATAAGAATCCTGGATGGATTTTTCTTCTACTTTGTGAATCCTGCATAAACTTCTGGCATCCACAGTATTACATGGAAAGCAATTCTGCACTTAAGTTTGGTTTGTAACAAGGAAGTATATACTGTCATTTATTTTCAATGTGTGACTTCATAATTTATTTGATGCCCCTATTAGGAAAGACCAGTTGTTTCTTACTCAGTTTCCCGTGGTCACACCATTTCATAGGTCTCTGTCCTGTCTCTCATCAGTTGTCCATTTTTGAGGATAAAGGATCCTATTTATTTATTCATTCTTCACACAGTTGTTGTTCCATAGCTTTAATCTTCTTTGTCACGTCTTTGAATCTTGTATGGTTTTTCTGTGTCCAGTTTGTAACATGGGAACCAAAATGCCATGTGAGGCACAACAAGGACTTAGGTAGTGGCACAGTGTTCCATTCTTTGCCAATTCTAATATTTGAATTGCTTTTCTTGACAGCTGCTGGACATTACCTATTCATTGCAACTTCAGAAGCACTTCCCTAAACAGCAATAACTTATTCAGAGCGCATTCTTTTGTTTATGTGCAGTTAGGGTTGCCTTTTCCCCCCCATGTTCATTACTTTGCCGTTTGTTATACTTAGGTTTGTGCATTAGCAAGATTTAATGCACTGAAAGAATGCTCACTTTTCTAAATAAGGCCAGCATATTCTATAGTCATCATTCATAATGTCATTTATATACTTACAGTGGTAAATTTTCCAACATCTTGTCTGAAGAGTATGCTAACATTTTGATTGATGCTTTCTGAGCTTCTTGCATAGATTTTTCAGAATTGATGACATTGGCCTTCTGAAAATCAGGTGTCTTGAAGATGCAATTAGCTATTGAAAATTTTTTAGGATTTTTCATCATCATTTGAAATACATATGTGTATAGAAAGAATATATGATAATAAAACTAAAAGAACTAAGCTGAAGTTTCCATAAGGGGCAAAGGGCCAGACTTCTAAAGTATTTAGATAATAAACTACTTTTGTGGGTAGTGAGAGTTGGCCGCCTCAATTCCTTTAAAAATGTGATCTTGAAACCATTTTTCAGGCTGTCAAGACTAAGGATTTCTTGAACTGTGCCATAAACTCCAAAATCACTTACCAAGGACAACATTTTCTGAAAGACTTAGTTTTTTTTATAGAGATATAAAAGCTATTTGAATACTATTTAGTGACCTAGAACTCCAACCAAAACCCTAAAATCTTTACTTAAGTTCGTTTTACCATTAAATATTTGAAAATAAATATTTGAATGAAAGGTCACTGCTTTCTTAACCAATAAAAGTTCTATCATTTCCCCAGAGCCTACTTAAAAAAGAAATATAGCAGCTGGTGAGGCTCTGAAATTGGGCTTCAGAAAACAGTGGATTCTGTTTGACAATAATAAAATTCATGGCAAAGTACATGGGATTTTTCTTTCAAGGTAAAAACAAAGCTTTAATATTTCATTAGCCACTGATATACTGGTGATCAAATGACAAAAAAAAATAAATTGTCTAGCCTCTTTGCACAAGCAAAAGCATCACATTTTTATATTTAAGTCTATCAGGAGGGTACAGAGGCATAAGAAAGCAGACTCGATTACAGAACTCAATGAAAGGCATCTGTCCTTTGGCCGCTTAATTAGTCCACAGAGCTGTTGTTAGTGCCCACTCAACCATAACAGAAAAAAAAGAAGAAATAATAGAATAAATGCAGAAAAAAAGCTGCTCAGATGCTATGGGAGTGAGTGTTTTATCTTAAAAAGGAAACAAAAAAGAATGTGACTTCTTCAGTCTGCCAAACCGGAAGAGGGATCCCTGTAAAATTCATATGGCAAGGAAGAAGACTGCCCAGGCATTTTGCATTTCTTCTGTGCTAGAAAAGCTGAAGAATGAAGACAGAGGCAGAAACTTAGCAGATGGGCTGAAGAGAAGGAGGAAGTAGGTAGATGGAGAGGGAGGAATATCCAAGTTTAAGGTACAAGTCATATGATAGGAAGAAAAGAACTCATATCAGGCAATATTTTTATTTATCTTAGTTCTGTATCTGTTGTTTATGTAGTGTAACAAACTGACACTGCTGTAAGTATCCTTGTAGAGAGCATTCAAAAAAGCATCAGTCTGTTTTCCCTGGCTGGTATATGTGATGAAAGTTGACCGATACTGTCTGGGAAGCAATGCACTTGTCTGAATAGTAGACAGTACATACATTTCTTTGACACAGGACAAGTGCTTGCAGTGGGTGAATTAACATGATTAACAGAGTTCTGTTTATAACATCTCAAAATGAGGTAGTTTATCCATTTCTCTTCAAGAAATTTTGCTGAAAGATAATATTTCATTAAAAAACTTCAAGCTCTGATAAAAACATTTCTTTGCTTAGGAGTTTGGTTTTGTTAACTGGACCAAATCAGGGTTTTTAAAAATTATTTTATCTTCTTGAATCTTATTTTAAGTCTCATGCATGGCATTCTAAGGATATTTTGCAAAGTATATCTAAAAATACAATCTTTCATACTGTTTCTTTGAAGTATTTTAAATAATTTATTTTGTGTAATGCTATGGATTCCCAGCTCAGCAATCAGAAATATATTGCTATGTTAAACCTTAAAATTAAAATGCAGGCTCACCTAATTTTGTCTTTAGACCAAGTCTTCATATTGTAGTTTTGAGACATAGTGTTTAAAAAGCAAGGTTCTGGTTTTTTGACCTGCCAGATGTCTTTCATTGTGCTTAAGAAAGTAGATGGCAAAGCTGAATATTCTCAGTAGCAAAACTTATGACAGAATAATACATAACACAATGACGTTGAGAAGTAAGCAGTAATAATCTTTAAACTGTTTTGTATTTGCTATGGGCATCCCATGTGTGAGGATTTGTCTTCCAGAAGAGATTTTGTGATGGTTATTTATGAAGTTTCTTTTGTTTTTATAGGAGTTTGATGGCTTTTTTAAGGTCAACTTCAGTGCTTCTTGATCTAACATGAGCTGAGTCCTCCCTAATCTGTGTATGCATGCTCGAAACAAGTAGCCCCTTTTATAGCCTTATTAATCTGGGAATATTACACAAGTCTGATGTAGACAGGAAAGTTGGGTGTGCGCAAATGTGCTTATTGCAGAAAAAACAATTCCAAGTGTGAAGCCGAGTAATAAAATAGAAACTTTGCAGACCTCCATAAAAAAATAGAGAAATTGTGTCCTAGCATTTCTGTTCCAAACCTTCTGTTGTTATTTCCATTGGATGAATATTTGCCCCATTGTGTTGTGTGGAATTTACTCTTTTTAGAAATCTCTTGTTCTGCTTCCTATTGGCTCTCACATAGCCATCTCATGCATTCTCTTTTTAATTTCAGGGGCAAAAATCTGTCAGCTGTGTCTTTCAGATTCCTTAAACTGATTGAAAACTATCTCTTGAAAGATGCTACAAAATCAACATTGGTTTCTCTCCATCTTCTGTTGTCTCTTCTAGTGTGATTATAGTTGCCTTCTGGTAGTCATTGATAAAGTGTTATCAGTTGATACAATTAATATAAAACTCTTAAATTTTATGTCTTGAACTCCTGTTTTATTTATGAAAGCTGATATGCTAGTTGTTTTGGATGCTTCTGGAGTGTCTGTCTGGCTCCCTTCTGGTTTCAGTAACAAACTGGTCTCCTGATCATCTCTGCTCAGTGCACGTTATTTTTTTTTTCTGAGCTCCCTCCTATAAAGAGCTTCAGGTTTCTTTTTGAGAGGGAATTTGTGCATAGTTGACACTTCAGTTTTCTATAGTATCTGAATATCAGGCCACATCATATAGAACTCTACTAAAGATAGTATGAAGACATGTTCACGCTGTGTCAGGCCATAGAAGTGGCTTGCTGGCCAGATGTGGATCTTTGTGAAAACAGTCAGCTCAGTCCAGAGAGACAGCTCTCAGCATGTGAATACATCAGGACCTGGGACTTCATCCCTGTAGTGATCTAAGAGAGTTAGCAGTAGTAGCATTGACTGTGGAGATCTTTCAATCCTATATTCCTAACTGGCAAAAGATACAGGCAATTATATGTCCAAATTTAGCAATTCTTAATACAGGTATATGAGATCACATACAATACCTGTGTACAGAATGAGTCCAGTTATCCAGACTTAGCTGTGACATTTTCCACTGGTAAAATGTAGTTCAAATTCTGATTTAAATACATCCATTGAATCATAGCACAGATCTTTGCACTTATATACAACAAATTGTTTATCCAATACATAAAAATAAATGGATGATACTGCATTGTTTTCCAGTAGAATTCTAAAAATTACCTCATGCATATGCAATGTACGTAACTTAGTTTACTGTTTCATTAAGGTCTTGGCATTGACAACAGGACATCTTTACCACAGAGCAATTCTTCTCCATGGGATGATACACTTTTCAATATATCCATGCATGCAGCAATACGACATGGAAAATGGAAGTTACTAACTGGATATCCAGGTAATGAAATAACTCTTTTTTGTACAGTGTGGCCTGTCTCTCATCTGCCACAAACAGCTTCATTCTGTTTCATATGTTTTAATTTATTAGTAATTCTGCTAACTTCTTAGGTTTTTGACCACATGCAAAAATCTAGAATGAGCGCTTCTGAAATCCAAACAGTATACTTTTTCATTTTCAAATATTTTGTCTACAGGTTACTGTAACTCTAGTGGAAAAACTGTCATAGAATATCTCAAGTTGGAAGGGACCAGTAACAATCATAGAATCCAAGACGAAAGTAATTGATGTGAAATAAAGTAACACAGAATTTTGAATCCCAATGCTGCAGCTTTTTTTCTGCATAAATAGGACTCCTTTATAGGTAGCCTTGGACTTGAGAGACTGGTGCAGGGCTAGAGTTAAGGAGTGCAGCAACATTCCCTGCCCAGGGACTTGTCAAGAGACAAGTCATTACAGCATAGCTCTATGTCTCCACACTGGTGCTCCATGTCTGAGAAATGACCCTTGGTCTGTTTCTGTTTCTTCAGGCTGTGGTCATTGGTTCCCTCCACCATCTTTGTTCAGTGAATCTGAGATTCAGTCATCTGATCCATCAATGAAGAGACTTTGGTTGTTTGATATTGTTCACGATCCTGAAGAGAGAAATGATTTGTCTGAAAAACATCCTGATGTGGTGGAAAAACTGCTCTCACGGCTTCAGTATTATCATAAACGTTCAGTGCCTGTGTTCTACCCTGATGAGGATCCCCGCTGTGATCCAGCAGCAACTGCAGCTTGGGGTCCTTGGGCATAGTGCAGCTTTGCATCCTGCAAAAAACAAACCCTAGTAGAGGCTGTATATGGACTCAGAGTCCTAGTTAAGCATATCTTACTTTCTTTAATGACCTATTGCTAATTGTGAACTTATCCCTTGAGTAATTTAGTATTTCTTACTCTTCATGGGTTTGGAATTTTTTCAGTCTTTTCTCACACTCTTGTTCCCAAAAATTGTATGTGAAATGTTAGTAAAAGTATAAATCTATTTTTTTTTTATATTCTTTGTCTGGAATATGCTTTTAATGCATAAGCATTGCCTCCTTCCTTGAAAGAGATTACTTTTCTTTAAAAGCTGAAAGTAATCATGGCAGCAGGGACATCCAGAATGCATCCATCTGATTTTTGGTTTCATGTGTAACAGCTTCTCCTGGAAGCTGTTTCATTGTAAAGACTAGAAAAATATAATACAAGAGTTGGCATAACATCACATTTTGAACTTCCCTGTACAAGAGGAGTATTGCCCAACTGGAGTGAGTTCAGTGGAGAACCATGAATATGATCACAGGGAAGACAGCAAGCAAGGGGAGGCTAAAGAAAAAAAAGGGAGGTTGCTATCTTCAGCTACCTAATGTGAGGGCATAGAAAAGAGGAAGCCAGACTCTCCTCAGAGGTGCACAAAGATGAAAAACACACAAGGAACATCTGGAGTTCCAATGCAAAGAAGAAAATTAAAAAAAAAAATCATACCATGAGTTTAGTCAAATAAGGGAACTGTGAGACTATGGCAGCCCTATTCCTGGAGATGTTCAGTCTTTGGTTGGAGAAGATTCTGAACAACATGATCTGTCTCTGAAGTTGGATCAAATTTTGAAGTTGACTCTGCTTTATTAGAGGTGGTGAGGAACAAATGGGTGACCTCCAAAGGCCGCTTTCTGCATGAATTATTCAATGATTCTATGATGAACAAAACCTTACTTTTATTGCCTGCCTAGTAAGCACCCTTTCTTCTCCTATATTGTTTCTTTATTACCATAGTGGAGTCTGTTTTCATTCTGGAGTGGGCTCTGAGCCATAGAGAAAACAGGCCAAGCAACATTTCTCAATTACTTATCAAATTGATGCGAGAGCAACCCACCAGCTCTATTAAGGTCAAACCTTGAATTCTGGTAATGCTTCTTAGTGTCCTTGACCAGGTTTCAGGATGCAGAGCTCAATCTATCATCGTCTCCAGAAAACAGGGATCTAATTGCCTTTTTTCTGGCTCCAGGACCAACTCATATAATTGCACTAAAATTTTGCACAACTTCTCCCAGTTTTCTCTCAGGAGATTTTGTGCCTTTACCACCTGCAGCTTACTGTAGGTAGCTGTAGCTCTAATCCTTCCTGTTGACTGATTGTCAATCCACTAACTTGTGGAAATTGTGTAGACCAAACTTTCAGGCTGGAAGGTGTGAATACAACAGCTTGCCCAAAGTGGTTTTGAAGCATGCCCAGCATGAGCCAGGCTGCTGAGGCTTTCATTCTTCCTGGTGTGATACTGGAGGCCTGCACTGTGATGGAGGAGGAAGGATAAGCACTCTCTTCATCAACTATGGGAATATTTTGCTTACAGGTGTGGAAGTTACAAGTCAAGAATTGGACAACTTGTGAGTTAGAAACCTCATGAATTAAGGAATGGATTAGTGAATTTGTACTAGTCTAGTCTAGTCTGTACAAAGGGGACTGAGCCCTTGTTAGTTTCTTTTCCTAATGAGCTCATAAAATAATTTACAGACTGTGTTGTCCTGTAAATTAGAGAAATCCAATTTGGACCATGACAATCTTGGCTCTAGAAAAACCTTAACTGCAGTTCTCTTTTCTAGCTATTGCAGCTTGTCTATTTTATACCGATGTAATGATTAATGCTAGTTTATAGCTTATCTGTTTAGTGCAACTGTTTTATATCCTAATTGTCTGTAGCATACAGTTAGTAACATGAGTTGGAGTATGGGATTCTGAAAGAGTAAGGTGTCAAATTTTGCCTTCTGTGACTTTTAGATTTACTATTTTTGTATGTATCTTAATGATGCATGTTGTCCTTCAAATGTCTTTTTGAGATAAATCGTCCAAACAGCAGAGCTTCCATCAGTCCTCATTCATTCAGAAAACGTTGGTTAGTTTATTTTTGCAATCAAATGCAGGTGGAGACATTGACACCATTCCCCAGTGTGTAAGGCAAGTAGATTCAATGAGTTTACATTATTCTAACTCTTTTTTCATAGGGCATGTTCTAACTCTTTTCATAGGGCATATTCAAGACTAGAAAGCTAACTGTTCTCAGTCAATATCCACATATAACATTTTAGTTTATAGTAGTGATTACAAGATGTGGTTGCTGGAATAACAAGGGACTGGACTTGGGGTTGGGGGGAATTTCTGCCCTACATTCCTGTGTGTCCTTCAGCATTCGGCACTCATATTACATGAGGAAAGATGTTGGCTTACCTACAAAAGCAAGAACTTTTGTTAATGATATTTTAATACAGGTATTGCTCTTTTTTGTGCTGATATCTAGTTTCGTGGAAAAGAAAGAAACACCAGCTAAGTTGTAAAAGCTCAAATAAATAATATGTTTGAGTCTCCTTGGCTAAAGTTAGAAAACATTAAAAAAACATTTTATTTCAGAGGTAAGTAGAGCTTTTATGTGTTCTCTTTTCTCTGTGTCCTACAATCTGCATTTTAGTATCTTGCTGCTATTCTAGTTCATGTAATTAATTTACTAGGAAGAGACTGTGGCACATCACTGTCTTGTATAGGTATTCAATTCACCCTTTGTTTCCTCCTGTTATATTTTAAAATCCAAAGATTCATTATTTTCTCAGCTACAGTATACATCATTATTTATTTTCTGATTTTCCATGGGTGGTCCTTCATAAAACATTTTAATTGAATTGGGTTAGAAAAAAAAGAAACATCTGGCTGACATGTTTAGGTTGGCATCTGCAAAGAGTTGTATACTGTTCAATTGTTTCAAACTGGAAAATAGAGAATTCTTTGTATATTTTGTGGTTACTTAACATTCAAAAATGCAAGTATTTTAAACTCTCTAAATAAAACTTCATTTCATCCCTTTCCAAGTTGAGATTCATTCTTAATCTAGCAAACATCTGAGCATTTTGAATTCAAAAGTCTTAACTTTTATGCTTTAGAAATTATTTAAGCTTCAGAAAAGTAACAAAGTTTAGGAAGAATGCTCACACTGGCTACTCATTTTGCATTGCTTATTTACAAAAAAGATGCATCCAGTCAAGGAGGGCATGATCTTATAAGCAAAACAGAAGGTCTGGATCTGTTCTTGAGTGAAAGACTCTATATTCAGCCTGAAAAGAATTTGTCCAACCTTCCTAAGATAGACAGGTCTTGGGTAAAGATCTGAGTTTAATCCTCTTCTGAATCTCTGAAGAAGAACCTGAAGTTTAAACACTTGTAGTCTGTTTGGATTTGAAGCTCCACTACCAGTCCCTATCAGCCTCTGTGAATTTGTGTCTCATCTTATTTTCTGACAAAGTGATTTAATGGTAGTAAGGCTACTTGGGATATTCCCAAAGCTTTTCCATGCTTGTGTGATGGAGTCTGGCACACAAGCACAAGTCCATATGTGTAGCCACAGTTGTAATCTTAGAGCCAGGGACACTCGAATGAGAAATAGGCAAGTGAATCACAAAACATGTAAGTCAAAGTCTAAATGAAAGATTACTTGGCAAGCATTACCAGGGGATCCAGAATCTAACCATAGGTTTCTGTCCTGAGCCTAGGAACACCAAACCATTTTCAAAGACATAGCAGTTACGAAGGGAGAATTTGTTTTCCTGCCTACCTGCTCCTTTGGCAGCCCACTACAGGCCCCCCTCCAGCTGGACCCCGAGGCTGTGTCTCTCTAACATTAAGTGTAGCTCCAGCATGATGGATGGGTCAGAGGACCCTTTCTACCGCCAGCCCTTCCCTTGGCAGCCCCTTTGCAGCCCCGCCCTAAGTGGACCCATAGGCTTCATGTCTCTCTTAACTATAAATAAGCTGAGGTTTGTAATGAGAAAGTAGTGCTTTTGCTAAGGGAAGGGGAAAAAGCCTGCCAATTCAAAGTTTGAGGAAGTTAAGCAATTTTTTTGTGAACAGGTTTCCAACTGAGTGTTTTAACTCCCTCACTTATTTTCTTTGTCAGCTGCGGGCGGTGCACTCAGTTTTCTTTCAAGCTGGGTTTTTATATGGGAAGACCCTGGTTAAATATATGGTGTAAAGAGTTCTCTGGAGTCTCAAGCTGCTTTTTCTGATTCCAGTGCTCTCACATGTCTTCTTCCGGTGCCTTGTGATTCATGTATGAGCTCATCTACACTGAGCAGAGCTGCTGCAAGGAACAGTAAAAACTTTTTTTGGCATAAAGCAGTCAGAGTGAGTCAGCCATGCAACTGTGGACAGGATCAGTGACGGCCCGTGTGATAATTGCATACTGTAGTTAAGCAGAGGCGAAGAGGATGATACATTAGTTCTTCTTGTGTTAGTTGTTCCCTCCTGAGACTGTTATTTTTGTGGGGTGGAGTGGAGAGAGATTGGAAGGGTTGGCAATATATCTGCTGCCAAGTTTCAAAAAAGTGACTACCAGCTGCCATCATCAAAGCAGCTACCGGATGTTGATCCCCTAATCCTGGCTAAACTCAATAGCAATAAAGGCAGTTATATTTTGTCTGCAGGACTATAGTTAGAAAAAAGTACAGTCAGAATCACTAGATTTGGATCTAAGGCATGCTGTGTTTATTTGGATGAATCTTCAGAAGCCACAACAAGGTACTGCACCAGAGCCACAGTGCTGGGCTGCCAGATTTTGGCATTCAGGACAGTGATAAAAATAAAAGAGCTCTGTCTTGCTTTTCTGCCATGCATTCTTGCTATTTCTTCAAGCAAACCAGGAGTTAGAACACAGTGAATACACTTACAAACAAAGTAAGCTGTGTTTGGGGTTCAGCAATGCTTATTGAGTAGTTTTGAGCATAGAGCCCATGGTAATGAATGGAAAATTTTGATCAGGACATCTGTGGTCTGCCTAAATCATTTCGTTTGGATCTGCAATTCTTCCAGGAGCATCACTCGATGGCCCTATTAACCAGGGATGTTGGAGCCTTTCTTTATTGTGTACGTTCTCCAAGCACACTCATGAAGTAGGAGTCATCAATTTTTATTGGATAGAAAGCTCTGAAATGGCTTATGCAAGGACATCTGAGCCCTTAAGTTTACCCTTCACATTTATCCTGCTTCACTGGAAAAAAAGTTTAATGAGTCTGTGCAGACAATGAGAAAATGAATGTTGAGAGCATTGAGTCAGACGCTGGACTTCACTTCTAGCAAACATACTTTCAGTTCCAGCTTAACTGTACTTAACTCACAGAAGCAAATAGTTTGGGAATTTTTTTATCTATAAATTGCAGTCATGGCAATTCTGTGATTCCAACCTATTTTCTTGATGTTGCTCATAAGTGTGTGGTTATCCGGGGGAATAGTCAGTTACTGGAGGATGATAATTTTATCCTCTCTTCCCTGTGTACTAGAGGTAAGAGGAGTCTTTTTAAAAGACTGTGAACATCACAATAATTGCCAGCCCAAGAACCTTTGAATGCAGTGCTGCCCTGTAGGTGGCTGCTATAGAGGTACTGAATTTTCACTTTAATTCTTGTCCCTTTTGCTTTGTTTTCAAATATTCTGTTTTACAAGTCATACATGATTGATAAAGCACTGTCTGAAATAATTCCAAAGGGGCTATTGGTCTGGTCTGGTCATACCTCCAGCCCCAGCTGGAGGGGCTGGACATGTTGTAGAAACAAAGTTGTTCTCCTGCCTTTTCAGTTCTGTTTTGACTTCGCTCTGTAATAAAGAAAGCATGGTCATGGTACATTAAAGAGTAAGAGCAACGTATACATTACCATTACAGTGCTTCTAGCTAAAGCTCCAAAACTAATATAGTGGAGAAACCTGGCTAAGAATTTACTGACAATTTTCTTTTGCCATAAGTTTAGCATTAGAAAAAAAATCCAGAACAGCTGAAATGGCATAGCCTTTCGCTGAGTAAAAATAGACACATTTATAATATCAAAGAAGACTTAGGAAAATATCCCATCTGGATTTTGAAAAATGTAGGAGGGAACAGAGTAAAACAATTGTATTTCTGTTTATATTTGCCCTAGAAAATAGCCCACTTAGAAGAAATATTTAAGAGTATGAGTGATTGAGAGATTATGTCTTAGAGGCAGCAGGTGTAAGATATGTCTGAAATTCCTTTGAGTTATAATTGCTGGTTAACAACAGGATTTTTAGGTAATTATTTCTACCCACAATGCAAAGAAATTTTAATGCATATGTGGAGAAGTTTTTAGAATTCACCTTTTTCTATGTTTACTTTGTAATAAAGAAAAGGCCATGGTATAATGAAAAAATGCCTAAAAGCAAATTTTTCTTTAATTACTATTCCAACAATAAAAAATGGAGAGCATTTTCTTAGAAAAATAAGATTTTCTATGTAAATGTTTGTTCTATTAATAACATTAAATACAACAGCAAGAATCCATCTTTCTGATGGTAAACACTGAGTGTAGTGCTAAGAGGCAAGTGTAATTATTAACTCAGAAATATAATTCAGGATTTTTGTACTATGCAGTGATTTATACATTTTACATTTAACTTGTGGCATAAAATATGTACGATATATATGAACCTAATCCAAGACCTAAATGCGAACAAGCAAGCTCCTACATTGTCTAAGTTTGTTGTACTTCTAAATTTTATATTTTGGGTCTTTGGTTCTAGATACCAATATGAAATTACTCAGTATCTATTCTTTCAGAAGCAGTAAGGATGCTGAAATCCCACTGTCACAACATTGCTAAACAACCGTTCTTTTCAGGTCCTACAGTACTATAAGCATCATAAGCTGCTAGCAAAGGCAGACTTTTTAATAGCAGCCACTATTCATCCTTTTACTTAATGTGATGTAATGACTTTTGTTTGATGACATGTTGAAATAAAGGAATGGCCTCTTTTTAAATGTAAATGCTGATTTTATCTATAGTCTATTTTTATTGTACTTTTCATAAATGTACTGCTGATGTGCATTAGAATAGAAGAAAATGTTTTTAGGAACACTTGGTTTCATCCTAAACATTATTCAGATAATAAGTGACTATAACACACTGATAACCATTAAAATTCTAAATGTAGCAGAGATCTGGCATTGCTTAGCTCCGTAACTCTCAGCCCGAAATGCACACACAACTGCAGCGTCCTTAAAACATTGTTTCCATCTGTTGCTGTCTTAGGAGTTGATTACTGCACAGATCTCTATGTATCAGAGTGCAAGTCACAGTAATTCTGCTCAAAGCCATAGCTTTAAGTGATTGCAGTGTTTATGGAAGATATTTGCCCACGGGCTATACTCAGAAGATTCTGAATTAAGTAATGATTAATTAACATCTGTGTGTCCTAGTTGCCCATATGACAAGATGGTGAGGACAGGATATCGTGAGAAACAGAGACAGGGCTGTGCTTGGAAAAACTTTGTTTAGGATGTTGATCACTCAGCCTGAGTGCATTCATCATTCAGCTTGTTTTATGAGCTGGCCCGGTCCAGTTATAGAACAGAATTAAATATTCCTGTTTATCATATAAGCTGGAGTCACGTTTTAGAGAAAACTTTTATTATTGTTCACTGATAAAGTTATATTTGGTGTGGAATCATGGGCTTATTTTGAAGATGTGATGACAACACTTATTCTGTGTCACTGTTGGAAGAGGAGAAACTCTCTTGATTAATAACGCTTAGTTTTTTAATCTATGCATATTGCAAACATTCTATTCTTGTTTAATGTTATTTTAGTTTTTTTCATTGTGTGTTTATCTTTAAAATAAATGTTAGCTACATATGGCTCCAGAGAAAGTTAGCAAACATACATTTATTCATAGAACTTCAGTTTCAGAACAGACCTTAAGAACTACCATTAGTAAAATTTACTGCATTGAAAATTTTATAATCTCCGTTTTCTCATCCTTCTGCTCAAAAACCTGGAAATGAAAAGTTTTTTTAATAAAGAATACA